CAGTAGACTCTTTCTGCTACATCTTCCTCATTTTCATCACTACTTTTTCCTCTACTGCTTGCTGCTGTGGATTTACAACCATCTGCACAATTTCTGAGTCAGTATAATGATGAAATTTGAAATTATGCTAGGTGAAATTAGTGCCGGATTACTGATGGAACCGGATAACTGATTGTCAGATTAGTGATGGCCAACCTGTACTGTACCGCATTACTCTCGCACCATCGTAAAGTCAAAATATCACAAAGCAGGGAGCATCTGTACACTATAGAGCCTCTGAAAACAGAGCAATATTGTGATGTGTCAAACAAACCAGCAAAGTAATATGGTGAATCTCTGTTTTGGGAATAGTTTTCACATTTCATTTATGTAATTCAAGTTAAATATATTGAAAAAAAGTCAGTTTTGAGAGAATTCCAGTTTACAGGGTGCTGGATTTTGGAGTTTGTAGCTGTATTTATTCTCAAAGGAATTTGCTAATGCTTTTATAATATATATACTACAAAGCTGCAAGTATTTTGCATACTTATGTTCAATAATGAGTTTCTGACTTTTTACAAAATTTACATAACTTTCAAGTTGTAAATAGGGATGGTGTAAATTGTTTGCCAACATAATATGTAAAGAGACTTGAAAGGCAGCATATAATTTCAACAAGAATTCTAGACTGGAGAGAAGGAAACAGTATCTTGAAGAGAAATTAACGATGTAGGTTGACAGAGGTGGAGTTCATATGCAAGGACCAGAGAGGAATAGGATCTGTTAGGAAGTAGCAGCAGCCAGAGGTGCATGGAAGAAGGTAAGGCATTAGGCAGGAAGAAAGTGGGTAAAGCAGATAGATATATAATTTTGGAATAGTAACTATATTTGTTTTATGTATATGTATAAAAGAAGGAAAGGTTCATTTGGATTTGTGCAAAGAATAAGGGCTCCAGAGAGAGTGCAGAAATTAAAGGGGAATAAATTTGTTGAGTATTCCAAGCATAGTGTATAAAAAAAATCATTATAGGAAGAGTTAGAGGACATACAGAAAGTAGAATTACATAGGAACAAGGTTGATTTAGGAGAGGAAAGACTGTATATAGACTAGGTGTTTGCATTAAAGCTTGTAAATGAATAACATTTCAATACAGGTAAGGAGCAGTTTGTTATAATTATAGATTTGTAAAAAGCATATGATAAAGCAGGTATTGCAAATGTATGGAATAGGCAGTAGGTTGTTAAAAGCTATAAAGAGTTTTTATGGGAAGAGTGAAATTCAAGAGAACTCTCTTGTATGGATGTGAAGCATGGGTTGTGAATGTTGCAACAAGGAGAAGGCTAGAGGCAGTGGAGATGTCATGTCTGAGGGCAGTGTGTGGTGCGAATATAATGCAGAGAATCCGTAGTTTGGAAATTAAGAAGAGGTGTGGGATTGCCAAACCTGTTATCCAGAGGGCTGAGGAGGGGTTATTGAGATGGTTTGGACATGTAGAGAGGATGGAATGAAATAGAAAGGCTTCGAGAGTGTATAAATCTGCAGTGGGGGGAAGGTGGTGTAGGGTTCGACCTAGGAAAGGTTGGAGGGAGGGGGTAAAAGAGGTTTTGTGTGCGAGGGGCTTGGACTTTTCAGCAAGTGTGCATGAGTGTGTTAGATAGGAGCAAATGGAGACAAATGGTTTTTAGGGCTTGACATACTTGTTGGAATGTAAGCAATGTAACGTTTATGAAGGGATTCAGGGAAACCAGCAGGTCTGACTTGATTCCTGGAGATGGGAAGTACATTGTCGGCTCTCTGAAGGAGGGATGTTAATGTTGCAGTTTATAACTGTAGTGTAAGCATGCCTCTGGCAAGACAGTGATGGAATGAATGAATGATGAAAGTTTTTCGTTTTTTGGGCCACAGTGCCTTGGTGGGAAATGTGTTAATAAAATATAAAAAAAAAAAAAAATTCTAGTATTTTCTAGTATAAGTGGGTTTTAGACAGGGATGTGCTTTTTTTTTTTTTTTTTTTTTTTTTTTTTTAAGACAGAGTTGCCAAATAAGGGCATCCTAGTGCTGGAATTAATTTAATATAAAATAGCTGTTGCAATTGCTCTTTGCTGATAACACAGTGCTTTTGAGAGATTTAGAAAAGAAGTTACAGTAGGTGGTGTGCAAAAGAAATAAGTTGCAGATAAACTAGGAAAAGAGCAAGATATTTAAAAGTACAAATAATTGAATTAATAAGTAAATATTATATTTTCCAATAAGGTATGTGTGTACAAGGATTAGTTAAGTCTCTCTAATTACCCTTATAAAAATTCCCATAGTATATATGGCATTTTGGGCAGACTTAAACTAGGAGTAAAACTAATTTTCAAACATGCACAGTTGATTATATTTAAAAGAAATCTAGGTATTTATAGATTGGATGCCATTGAGAGGAGGAGGCAAAGAGGAAGTGAAAGTCTCAAGATATGATGTGTCAGCAGATTGGTCCATGAATGGCAAATAGAATTGTAGGGTAGATGAGGTACAAAAGGTAGCTTGGCTGTTGAAGCATCCATGGAAGAAAAAAATGTAAATATATGTACTATATGTGTATATATACTCTATTGTAGATGAATGGTTCAGAGAACCGACATGTGCAACTCTTGGGTATCTTTATTGAGGAAACGTTTTGCCACACAGTGGCTTCATCAGTCCATACAAAGGAGAAACTTGAAGAACAGGAGGAGAATGAGGTAATCAGTCCCTCAGCCTTGAGTCAATGTGGTCAGTCCATCAATCTTGAATAGAATACGGCATATTAGCGGAGAAGCAGCTTATAAACCGTAGACAGGTGAGGGGCAGCAGTCGTAGGTGGTGTCACATTTGTCCAATGTGGAAGTAGGTCGTGCCCAAGGGTTAGGCAAGTGAAGAATTCCCAAGTATTAAGATCGCAAGAAGTTGCAGTGTCTGACAGGATTGTACTCTATATACAGTATTGTACCTGAATCACTACAATAAAATATATATTTTTTATAACAAATTTCTATTTCTTGTTAACTGAGGTTTTGTTACTGCAACACTTGTGTACTCTGCTTTATATTTATGGCCATAATTATCCATAGATTATAAACACAACTTATCTTCAGCAGTGAGTCATGAGCACAGAGGGAACACTTTAGCTGTTCAGTAGTTATTCAGGCTTACCACAAAGAATATTGGGTAATGTGGAAATTTTGTTAATACCTTAATTCATAATATTCCTGTTGGTCAATCCATAAATGCCTTTATTGCAGTTTTCCAGATTTACCAATAAAAGCATGCTGCTTATACACCAAGATGATGAACCTTAATTTATGATGTTTGATTATTAATATAAGATTGTGTGTATATACTGTATAATACATATGTATATATAAATTACAGTATTTGCAAATTGCAGTATTCTTAAGAAAGATTTATATATGTTCAAATCATTGGCACCCTTAATTATATAATAAATCCTCAAGTGAGTAACATCTGGCATAAACCAACTCCCTTAATTTTGTTTTATGGCAGTTCTGAAGTATTTTATGAAGGAAAACAGTTGTATTCATATTGAAAGATAAAAAAAATCCCATATTTTTATAAGATGGTTTTAGCAAATTTTTCATTCATTGGTTACTTGTGGAAAATAAAGACATCAGCTCTTATAATCACAATGACAGTTCAGTATGATGATGATGGAATTTTTCTAACCTTCAAGTATCCAAAGATTTTAAGACATTAAAACCAAGATTTGTGTGACTATCATACCTCAGTGAAATTTTATCATTACTGTAGTATAAACTAATATTAGTACAATTAAGGTTAGGTAAGGTTTGTCAGGAAACAGGACAAGTGTTTCCTGATGCTGGTCTTAGATGATGACCTGCTGTGGGAGCTTCTGGTCATCTGACCGAGGCCTTTTGCTGGCTTACCAGTTCACCCCTTTAAAAATTATGGTCATAGTTATATTATTTAGTGAGTACAGTTAAGAAATGAGATCAAAGATAAAACATTGTTGTTTTTAAAAGTATGATTTTTTTGGGTCGTCATGCCTCCATGGAAGATGGCTGGTGTGTTAAAAAACTATTACAATTCTTGATAGTCAGAAAGAATGTTAAATAATATTTCTTTTATTTTCCAAATTTACGTAACTAAACAGACACACTTGACACCCCTAGGCCATTTCTAATTGATTGTGTTCGACTGATACTGCAGCTTGTGTATTCATGGCTATGGATGTATTAGCCCTTGTGGCTTAGCGCTTCTTTTTGATTATAATAATAATATGGATGTATTCTTTTTCTAAGCTTCTTAAAAAAAGATTCCATTCAAATAAACAGAACATAAAATAGCAAGTGCTGATATACAGTATATCAAGTTTTACACCAATGAGTCCTTCTGCTCTTAATAAAAAAAATACATTGTAAGCTGTCTTTATAATAGTTTCTTAAAATTTTAAATACTTCAGAATTGCTTTTCTGTTATTTTAAATTTAGTTTATCTCTGTAATGCTGAACATGTTTTAATTGTGAAACCACTAATTATTAATCCCTTGTCATCCTTTCCTCTTTTTTTTTTTTTCTGCATATTTGCTTCTCTGCTGCCTTGTGCACCTTTTGCTTATTTGTGTACCTTCTGCTGCCTTGTGTACATGCTTATTTTAACTAATTTTTTTTTATTAATGATGGCCTATTATAATTATACTTTACATTCTTTCATTTGTTTGCTTAAATTACTAATATCTGCATTTCCAAAATGTTCAAATATTGCTTTCTTACACCTTCATTTATAATGCTCACTTTATTTTCTGTTGGATTATAATTCTTACAATGCAAACTTCTCTTTAATGGAATTCTCCTGGCATTGTATTTACTGGTCATATTGCATGCATTCTTTTCATTCTCTGTAATATCATAATGATAATACATTGATAAAATATGCTTTAATATCTTCTGTGATGCCTTTGATGCACCAATGCTCTGCAATGCTGTGCACATACTGCTGCTGCTTCGCTGCTATACAGGTTAAATCCTCACAGAGTGCCAGAAAGGCAGCTTCGCTGCGTGCCAAATTCGAGAAGTGGGAATCCGAGGTTGAGCGCAACAACGAATATAACCGTGGCGACATACCTGAAGGTGACGAGGAGTGTATGCCATCTATTGACACCGCCCGTAACCTCCGTGCCATGTTTGAGAACAAGGCCCAGGAGGCATCTCGGCCGGTTACTAATCGTCCTAAGATAAAGGTCAACAGATTTGTGGTAAGTAATGATGCTAATTATTGATATTCATAAATGAATGTTTTTCAGATATGAATTTTATTATTGTCTATAAATTTTACAGTATTTTACCAGTCAATATGTTATATTGTATGTGTTATTTATTTCTGCATATATGCCACTTCATTAAAAAATAAAATGTAACTTTCATTTAAACAAATTTTTTCATTTGAAGTTTGCATTGAAAATTGATAAGGAAATTTATATAGTTTTAGATACTGTACTTAACTGTTATTAGGTTTAAGACAATAATGTTGTAAACTGGGATTGTGTTGAACAAAATTAAAATATTTATTTGATTTATACTGTTCTCACACGAGTACTTTAATTTTTGGGTATGTAACACATGAAAGTTACTTATTTACTTTATGGGGATAGAAGTGTCATAGAGACATGTCAGGTGATTCTTGCTGACAGTTTATGTAAATTTGACTTTTATATTATTCAGAATATAACAGATTATGTTCCAAATCCTATAAAGTAAACTGTAATAATCTGTTGTTGCATACACAATTTGTGCAAATATATTAAGTGAAGGTGTTCAAGCTCAACATTAATACTAACAGTTGTGTAAAGCATCTTGCTGCAAGATTTGTAAATATGAATATGTGCATTGTATCTATTTTATGGCACTTGTACTATTAACATTATTAATATAGAGTATAGCATGTATTATAACATTGTACTTGTGCAAATTGTCACAAACCCTTGTATGTTTGATTATTATTTGTAATTACAGGAAAAGAACTGTTTGTGTGTATGTGTCTGCATGTGTATGTATGTGTGATGCATGCATGATTTGCAGAGTTAATTTGTATTCTTTGCATAGACACTTCTACAGTAATATTTATATAGAGTCCAAGTCATTGTTCTTAGAATTAACCATTTTTGTTTCTTTAATATCCTGGGAAGTGACAGTTTGCAGAGCAAGAAAATAAAATGCTTGTAAATCTTAATCTATATTGTGCATAATCACTCACATGACTCTGAAGCAGTATCTGTTACATATGTATGTTGAACTATCTGCTTTTCTTAGGCATGTCACCACAAGAGTAGCTTTTTTACTTTCAGTGAGATAATTTACTTTTTATAATATTTATATACTTTATTTCCACATAACTCGAGCATTGGATGTATACTATTAGTGTGCTAAATAACATGAGTGTAATTAACATAATGGAAAGTACTGTGATGGATCGCCCAATTCAGCACTGTGGTAGTCACTAGATAAAAGGCCCATAACCACTATCTCAGCTCTTGTTTTTAGTGATACAAGCATTGACTGCATCAATAAGTATTAGTTGCCTGATGTGATGTATATTATCAAGGTGATGAAGACTTCATAACCTTAACATTACTACCACTTAATAGTAACCCAGTATATTTCACCTGAAAATCTACCATTATTCCTCTTCAAGATAAATGGAATATTGCACTGCTGCCCATGTGGAAAGAAATAAGAGGCAAACTGGAATAATGCATCCAGGTCTGCTGTGGTGGTGTGTGACTCTTTTGTGCTCTAAATATAAGCATCATCTAGTGGTGTCTGTGTAAACTAACTACTCTCTTCATTTTGCATTTTGCATTTTCTAAATGGAAAGTGGTATTCTTTCTTTGTTTCATGAGCACTTGTTTATATGTAGTAGCATTGCTGTTTATTCCACTTGGAAGAAAGTGTGTACTGGTAGGGACAAAGTTTGACTTGGGTCAAAAGCAAGCCTTGTATATATCTCGTTATACCTACAAAATACAGAATGATAAAAATTATAGCAAAAGGTAGGCGAGTACTAATACATTACTCATAATGCAAATTAAGAAAGATATTTTAAAGTAAATGTAATTCTAGGAATCGGCCAGTGTGATAATAATAATAATAAGGCTGATTTTAATAAATAAAAAAATACAGGCCAAACATCCAGTGAATTGGACTTACCTGAGTGTATTAGCCATACTACTAAGTCATAAACAAGAGTGTGACTATATATATAAGAGCAGAGGTTTATAAGACTAATGGTCAGGTTACGATTGTATGCTTTTAAGAAGGAAAAAAAAAATTAATTTTGTTTTTTAACACACCAGCCATCTCACACTGAGGTAGGGTGATCACAAAAGAAAAACACTTGCACCATCACTCACTCTGTTACTGTCTTGCCAAAGGAGCACTGATGCTACAGCTCAGATGACCCTCCAAACTGCAGTATTCCCACTCCTTCAGAATGCAGACACTATACTTCCTACTTCCAAGACTCAAGTCCAGCTAACCAGTTTCCCTGAATCCCCTCATAAAGGTTACCTTGCTCACACTCCAACAGCATGTCAAGTCATAAAATCCACTTGCCTCCAGTTACTCCTCTCTAATACGCTCACACTTGCCTGCTAAATGTCCAAGCACCTCATGTACAAAGCCTCCTTTGCCTCCTTCAATCTTTCCTACTCCACCTTCCTTCCACTATAGGTTTATACACCCTCCAAGGCATCTTATTTTGCTCCATCCTCTCTAAGTATCCAGACCTCCTCAACAACCCCTCCTCAGTCCTCTTGGATAATACTTTTAATAACCTTGCATCTCCTTTTAAAATTTATTAACTTTATGCTTCAACAAATGGTCGTGCAAAATATATATGCATTTGGTAAAGTTATGACTGATTTGGCTTTTGAATATGAGCGGACATCTGTTTGGCCAGTGTTGAGGACGCCCTGTTTCTTTTCTCTTTTCTCATTAATACAATATTGATATTTGTAAGAAAATTATAAGAATAGAATTTTGGGTATGTAAATTCTGAGGATATTTTTATATAAATATTGTATTGCATGTTCATATTTTGAGGACCACTTTCCTCATTGACAAAAAATAATGTTACATGCCTTTAAACTGAAAGCCTGTATCATAATGTGATGTTTTCTCAACTGCTATCACATTTCACCTCCAGTCTCTACATTCTTTAGATTGTTAGAGAGTTTACTAACATTTTTTTTAGAATATTAGGGTGTTTAGAATGTTAATAAAACTTAATGTGAGCCGTAAGTGAAACATTGAGTGAGGCAATGATCAGAAAATTTTTGTGGCTAGTTTGGTTTTTCAATTTGATCTTCTGGATTGGTGCCTAGTATTGAAGTTGTTTCGTTAGATATCACTAAAGGCATTATTATTGACATTCATAAAAAATTACTTGGCAAAGCAAAAAAGCATGGAGCATATTTTTTCTAAATAATTATGGATATGTCTGCCTTTCATTGTTAAGCAATGCACCTTGTTAAAACAGAGCACTTCTTCTTCCCAAAGTTTCAAAATATTTCTTAATTTTGAAAAAAAAAAAAAAAAAAAAGTGAGTGCCACATGTTCTTGTGCCAAAAAATAAATGTAGAGTGAAACCTCTGGTCACGAACGTTTCCGAACACAAACAAATTGGTTCACAACCAAAAAATTCACCAGATTTTTGTATCTGGTCACGAACACGCAGTTGGGTGCCGAACAAATGGTTGTGCCAATTTTCACGTTCCACGCCATTTTTTTGCACACACAGATTTTCCCCACTTCCTGTTGTTTATGTACACCTAACAAAGACCCTCGCCTTGTAGTCGGTCTCAGTCAGACGTGAACTCCGTGTTGTATTTTGTGTTTTTTAATTCATTTTGTTTTCTTGGTTGTTTACGGTATGTTTTTTCTGTTATTTAAGTTCTTTTTCTCTATTAAACTGTGCATTATTTTGTATAATTAAGGATTTTTCAAACTTTGATTATTTTTTTTGTGCTTAAAACTCTTTAAAAACCTGTTTACAGTGAACGGTTCGTGCAGTGTTAGTTTTCTTTGTTGTTCAAGGTTTTCTCAGTGTTATTCAAGGTTTTTATACTTAGTTTACTATTACACTGTGCACTCTGTGGTATAATTTAACTATTTTTGTGCTTAAAAATCTTAAAAAAACAATATTTACATACAGTTCATAGGGGTCTGGAACAGATTAATTGTATTTATATACAATCCAGTGGGGAAATTAGGTTCGGGTCACGACCAGATCGGGTGGCAACCAGAGTTTTGGGACGAATTATGGTCGTGACCAGAGGTTCCACTGGATTTGGTAAAAAGGTTGGAGCAATATAATCGCAGCTTTTGTCATGACTCTTACAAGATCATCCATGCTTATGTTGTGTACTTGTTAAATTGTGATTGCAAGTTAGATCTGGGTTCCTGGCCCTGCCCCACCTTTCATCTTGGCACTTGCCAGATTCACTTCCTACTAGCTTCATGGGCACCTTCGTACCTGCTCGTAAACTATAACTGTACCACCACTTCTTTGTTGAGGTTGTTCCATGTCCTGACCATTCAGAGACTGAAGAAATACTTCTTGAGATTTGTGTGGCTCATCTGTATCTACCTTCCAGCTGTGGCCCAAAATACCTATTTCCCACCTCTCAAATAGCCTATTCCTGTCTATCAGTTCTTCTGAATAATTTATAGGTTGGTATCATGTCTTCCCTGGTCTGTCTGTCCTCCAGTGTTGTTAGATTTAATTCTGTTAACCTCTTCTCATAGCTTGTATGAATTCCCTCTGGAACTAGTCTTATTGCATACCTGTCTGCACTTTCTCCAGTTTCTTAATACTTTTTTCTGGTGTGGTTACCATACCATTGCTACATACTCTCAGATGGCTCTAACATATGTTGTGAAAGGGCCTGGAATGACTCTTTGTTGAAATTCTGAAGACTACTCATAGATTTGCCAAACAAGCATTGGCTGCAGAGGTTATTCAGCTGATTTGAGCCTCTGCCAATATGCTTGGCCCTATGCTCACCCCAGGTCTTTCTCAGTGAATGAGGTCTGGAGCCTCTGTCCCCTGACTCCATGTCCAGTCTTCTTGCCTCTTCTCCAGGCTTCATAACCTTGCATTTGCTTGGGCTTCAATTCAAGCCAATACTCATCTGACCAATCTTGCAGTTTGTCCAGATCCATTCGCAACCTTTCTCTGTCCTTATGGTTTTATTCT